ATTTTGACAACCACCCATGTACATTGATGGGAAGCTCACCACCTCCATTCTCCTGAGAGCTGGTTTCGCCAAACTACACTGATGAGGCCCGAGCTTCAGTGCCGCTGGGAAGCTTTACAACTTTACTTTGAAGGCAAGAAAAAGCCAGTAAACAAATGGAGGGTTTGGGAAATGAAGGGCCTTTGAGGGGCTCCTAGAACAAGCAGGGATTGAAATATGTTGGGGTCTATTTGGGGGCCCTCCATTTATGGAAACTACCACAACCAGATGCTGACCTGCCTCTGCCGCATCCTCAGCATTCGCTCCAACTTCCACCTACGCGGACATTCTGAGCTGAACCAGACGAGCTTTTGAAGAATACAGGACCCTAAACCCTGAACCCTAAACCCATGGGCCTTACCTGGTGCTTTGGATTGACCAAAAAGCGGATGGGATCCTGAGCTTAATGCAAAAGTGACACCAAATCGGCATCTGCGGAAGCCTGCTAGGAAGCTCATCTGCTAATCGGTCATGAAACTGATATCTGACACCACTGCCCTAATGACAGGTGTCGTCCAGAGCAACTATGAATGGCCTCTCAGGGCATGCCTAATTTCAACACACAATCCTTCGGTTGAGGCCCGCTGATACTACCATTTGATCCCACACTATCATGCAGCACGATCAGAGCTAGGTAGTTCCGTGATACTTGGACAACTAAATGTTCTTGAATGACAGATAGAGTCGAAAAGAGGTTGCCCTCAAAGGGAGAGAACCACCCTAAACCTGAAACCTTGAACCCCCAAGCCCTGAACTCGAAACCGCAAGACCCTGCAAGTGCCCGAAACCCATAACACCCTAAATCTCTGAAACCCCTGAACCCCATACCCAACGTGAACCCCTAACTCATATAAGCTCAGCCACAGGGGCAGACTGCCCTGAGTCGAGGTCCACGCGGATGGACTCGAGGGCCGCTTGCCAATCCTTCGGCGCAGGATACGGGAGAAACATATGTTCCAGATAGTAGGGCTCAGGACTCAGGGCTTAAGGCTTGAGGGTTGGAGGGTCTAGAGGTTCGGGGCTCAGGGTTTTAGACTTGGGGAGTAGGGTTTGGCGATCATCTAGGATCTCTCAAGAGTCGGGATTAGGGCTTAGTGATCAAGAGGTACAGCAGGTCCTTGTTTAGGCTCAAAGATTTGCGGGGGGTTCAGGAAAATCATCCACCGATTCCGCTCCCAAGCTACTGTACTTTCTCGGCGGCATGCGTTCCTCCGTCAACAGTATCAGAATTCTTGAAGGTTTATGACTTCGGATTTAGAACAAACCCTGGGATTTTGGGCATCGGCTTGGGAATTTCTACAACGTCGAGGCTCCCGTAGGAAGGATCACCTTGAGAGATTCTTAGATACTGCTTGATTGGGGATGCTTCGCATAGAAGAAGACCGATGCAGCGATCCTTGCCGAAAAAATATCGGGCTTTTGAAAGATGCACCACGCTAAGCGTATAGCTATCAAAGGAATCCCTCTGACCCCAACGTGGGGGTTTCCCCAAATAAGGGGTACCTTTTGGGGTTCCCCAGAATAAGGGCATTTTGGTGTCTTTATTGGGGTCCCTTATTTGAGAAATTACCATGGATCTCTGAAATACCCCACTTGTCAGGAACCCCATAATCCATGAAAAAAGAACCTTGCAACTCCTAGATGGGTATGTATGAATCACAAGCGAGTTCATCAGGAGAAGCCTCAGAAGTCAGCGCACCCGCCTTCAGGCAAATGCAAACCGTAAATCCTAAACCCTAACCCCAACCACGAACTCAACCCACGATCCGGATTCCTGGTGCTGCTTCGCAAGAATGCGGAGGCTCTCGGATGAAGCGGTCAGCCTTCAGTCTTCAAATTTCGTGTGTTTAGTATGGAATTAAGGGATGGGCGTGGTCCAAATATGTGATCTCGAAAATTCTCATGGTGACATGTAGGACCCGTTTATCAGGTTGTAGTATTGTGACAATTACCAGCATTTCCATTCGTTCTCCATTCTTTGAGTCATGTCAAGAAAAAGCGGTGTGATCAGGGTTTTCATGGTTTTCATGTTTGGCCATAGGTAGGCTTGACAAAGGGAGTATGGGCTTCTTGTCAGGATGCTATTGGAATTATGTTGAGAATCTTCCGTTTCTCAAACTGGTGGTAGCCTATCTCTGTCAATTCGTACATGTCTGAGACCCTTCGGGCATGACAAACATGTAGTTTCCATTTTCTTTTCCATTATCCAAATATATGGTAGAATAACATAGATTAACATAATTTATCATGATATATTATAGTATAATATATAGATGCTGGAAATGAAGGGTGCGCTACAGCTTCAAGACAGTTCTCATTGACAGCTGATGTCCAGAGTTCAGTACGCTCGAAGCCTGCTTTTTGCTCAAGATGCCCAATTGCCATACAAAGACAGGCAAGGCTTTGTCGACCGGCCACAGAACATTGGCACGGGTATGCAAAAACGGCGAGTAGCGCATAGAAGCGTACTAGGCTACATACTGACAACTGACAAACCCCAAAAAGCTTTATCCACTCCCTACACATGAAGAAAGCTGGTTGAAAATAAGGCTATCAAAGCTGGTGTCCCTTCTTGGGGTATCGTATACATATATATATGTATATATATATATACATACATACCCTAACGGAACGATCATTGTGACAACAATCTTCCCCCACCCCCACCCCGCCCACAGAGCCAAGGCTCTGCAACTGCAGGTCTGCCAGCAGCTTTGCAGGCTCCGCTGGGCGCGGCATGGTGCCGGAGAAACGCCTACGACCTACTGTTTCCTAATGTTGCTACTACAATACCTGCACGACCTAAGTCCAAAAGTGTAAGATACTGAGAATCATGCTGGATTTGAGGTATCATTAATCATTCCCGGACTTTTGGACCAAATTGGTCCTTAATTGTAGAGCGTACCCACAGGATCCTATTGTCGAGAAGCCTTTTGCCACATACAAGGCTGGAGAACACACAACAGGCCCTGTACGGACATCAACCTTTCTCAAGGTCAATCGCTTTTTTTTAGGGTCGAATCCCTTGAGCCAGCAGAGAAGCCGAGTAAACTTCGTCATGAATAGCCAAGGGCTTCTGTGAGCTGAGAGATATTGTTTAGGGTTAGGGGTTAGGGACTTTGGGGACTTTAGGGTTGACGTAGGGACTTTAGGGTTTAAGGACATTAGAGTTTAGGGTCTGTTGAAATGTTGATTCATGGCTGGTGGCCACCGTGCCTCCTTTCAATTCGTAGTACCACGCAAGCAAATACGTCAGGATACAAGTCTCCGCAACGTACAGTTCTTGATGGGAGGTAAGGACCCTCCCTCCAAAATTCTAAAACGGGGTTCGGATCTGCGATCTAGGCTCTGGGGCAAGGGATCTAGGGTTCAGGGTTTAGGGCTTGGGCTTGGGTTTTGGGCTTTGGGTTGAGACTCTAAGGTTTAAGGTACTTGCTATCCCTTTTCGCTGTTGGCACTGGGATGGAACTTCATTCGCATCGCACGGCGGAACATAGACGCAGGGTGCTTAAGAAAGCACGTTCCAAAGCTTTCTTCCAAATTGAATGACCTGTTAGAATTGGCGTCCAAGTGTCGTGCGGGTGTAGCGAGAGTTCCTCAATGTAATGTGTGCATGTGGAGTTTGCCTGGGACCTACTTCGAAGACTTCGTGGTCTTGATTTTGTTCTCATTTTGAAAGCTGGGTAAAAGAGCGGTCCACCAGCACATCATGTAGAAACCTGAGTCATCTGAACATGCGCAAAAGCCCTTGTCTTGGCCTAAATATGCAGCAGATCTCCTAGCGAAGGACTGGCACTTTTACACCACACATCCGTAGTGCGCCTACATACTCATGCTTTCTTGACAACTGGAGGAGAGGATCCCCTTCGCAGAGACTTAGTCATCCGATCATGGGCCACTATATCCCATTCCCCCAAATTTCCAACCAAGCATGGGTAAGTCTATCGGTGAAACAACCTTCTTCGAGGCCAGCTTCAGCTTGCTCAGGGAAGGCCACCCATTGCCAGCAAGACAGTCTGGAAAAGGGTTTAGGGACTAGCGTGTAGGGTTTGGGGCTTAGGATTTAGGATTGAAGGTTTGGAGTGCAGGTAACATGTTGTAGGATCTGCTGTCTGGGGTGTAAGGTTTGGGATTTATACGGATTCATCACAGTTCGGACCTTCCCACACCAGGGCTCAGCCAACAAACACAGAAGCCCGCCGCCACGCCCATGACCATGCAGATGACGAGACCTTGCATTCCGTGGCCCTCAAAACTTAGCACCCTGAACCCGGAACTCTTAAACCCTAAGCTCCCACACCCTTAACCCTTGTGTGGCTATGCATACCCCTCAAAAGCCAAGGTGACCTGTCATGGATCGTAATCCCTGTAGAGGCGCTGCAGGAACTCTATTGAACCACGGAAATGCTTCTGAAAAACCCTACGGTTGGATGTCGAAATTATGACACCTTTGCCCCTCTAATGGTAGGGGCCGGTGCCATAAAAGGGACATATATCGGGGACGGGGATTTTGACAACGCCGCCTTATGAATGCCTACACGACCCCAGCGGAAAGCTATGGCCCACTTACATACCCTAGAACGGCGAGCTCCTTAAAGTGGAAGATCCACAAAAACAGAAAAAAAAAAAAAAA